GGGGAGGGGAGGGGAGGAACACCCAGTATAAAGTATGTTCCCAGTAAAAGATATCATGTAAGCTCTGGAAGAGCTGGGTGCATTCAGACTCAGCAAGGTTTTTAAGATTCCAGCCTACGCGCACAGCCACGGAGGCGGCAGCTACAGCAGTCTGCAGTGCTTCCTCCCCCACGTCCTCACTGCTGTCTCTCTGCGAGAGCACATGGAGCCGGGGCAGAAGTCGTGCACTTCTTGCCTCCTTCAGCGCCGCTCTCAGCGGCTCAGCTCAAAGCTTCCTTCGGCACTGCTCCCAAGGAAGGTGCTCTGTACCGACATGGAAGAGGATTCAGTCCTTTTTTTGAGGTTAAAGTTAGGACATCAGGCAGAGGGGCAGAGTCTCCTCAAATGCTGATAATGATTCTCTTTTACATAGCAGATGCATTCATTTTCACATCAAACAAAGCTTCCCTCTGTGGTTTAAGGGGAAGCTTTGCATATTTTGCCTTTGCTGAATTGCATTGCATATTTTACCTTTAATATATCCCTCTCCTTCATCCATGATGGAAAAGGAATGCCTTGGCTGAATATCTGAAAAAGCACTGCTCTTAGTACAGAGTAGTTGTCTCTCCTGACTTGTCGTAGGTATTTGATGTGATATGTCCAAAACAAGCCTTCATATGCCTAGAAAAAGACAATAAATATTTTAAACCTTGGATGAAGGTTTAAAAGTTGGAGTTCACTTCCAAACCTACTCATAGGAAAGGGCTAGGGGAAAGACAGATTATACTTGCATGTTTTAAATATACAAAAATATTCTAATACATTGTCCCAGAAAAGGAAGATCTTCTTGGAACCAGCTATTTGCGGCCATCTTTGCACTGTTGCTACCATAAACATTCATGTGGTCAACCAGACCAACATGAGAGCTTTAACCCCAATCACTTCACAAGCTGTGCTAACACATGGGACAGAGCAGGGGACAGGAACAAGTACCTGCAGAACACGTGAAAATTCCATTTTTTTTTTCTTTCCCCAGAAATTTGTCTTACACTGACCTGAAGCTGTCATGCATCTGTGACCTAAGGCTGAACATAGCTGAGAGCTCTCCGCTGAAGCAGACAGCTTGTTTCTGCTGTGTTACCTCTGGCTCTCAGATAAGCCCTTGACAAGACAGTTCTGACCAATAAGCCAATAGAGACCAATAGACCAACAAGCAGAAAATGAATTTAAAAACATTGTACAGTTGCACAGACTGCTGAATTTTACAACATTACAATTTGCTTCCTAAATGGGTCTCTAAGGCAGTTACACTTCTTTGTCCTTTCTCCTCAGCTGCTTCCCATCCCAAACCAACACCACTTCCTGACCACACAGGCCCCCCACTCCTCCTTTGCTTTGGCTGTGACAATCATAAACCAATCACAAAAATCATAAAAAACATAAATCATAGCAAATAAATTCTTTTTCTGGGTAAGCTTCCTAGTGCTTGAGCAAGCTCAGGAGGCTTAGAAAAGGATGTGATGAACCGAGCGGGAGCGCGTGGCCATCAATGGAGGTGAGGCAAGGGGAGGTGAGCCTGGAGTCAAGCCTGTCCCCAGGGATGACCTGTTAAACCAGGTAACCACATGCAGGACAGATATGTTGGGAGCCCCTTCTGGCCTCGCTCTACGTTGCGGTGGTCACTACTGGCATTGTTGTGATACTGCGTTTAATGGGGCCAAGTTTGATCTTTTCCTCGTTTATCACTTGGACCCAACTTCAGCTTTTGAAAGAGGTCTTCTTTCTTCTGGTAACTCCTTCATGCTGTTTAGCACATCAGCTTCATTTTGCCCTTTCTTAAGTCCTTCCTCAGGGTATGCACTTACTCAGTGAGTCCAAGACCAATACCCAAAGCAATGCATATATCAAATACACTGATGATAAATAGCAAAGTCTCCTATCCCTCTTAAGTTCTTTTTAAGATCTTCCTCGTCTTCTGAAGTTTCCCTTTCTGAAGATGAATGCAATCATAAGCCATCTTTTTGCTTTATTGCTCCTGCACGGATGTTGAATGCTAGTGCATGCTGCTTGCCATTGCAGAGAATGGCAATGGATACCAGACAGCAGTATTTTGAGGTAGGTCCTGAGCACTCGTTCAGGACCAAGGCAAGGGTTGCTTCTTTTCCTAAAGGCTCTCTGGAAAGATGCTGCATGAAATAGTCATGGATAGTATCCGTAAGTTCAGCCCCATAGCAATACCCATGACACTGATGGGTAATCAATGTCATCACTGCTGCACCTCCTGCCCCCTTTGCCTCTGTCTCCCTCGGCACATCATGGCCAGTGTTCCCAGCATCATTAGGTAACATTTCTGCATTCAGAAATGCAGAAATACGGACCTGGTGCCATATTTGTCCCGTGCAAGCCCCGAATTCCACACCATGGGGATACCAAGTCATAACATCACAGTTAATTGATTAACTGGATTTGATTCTAACATCTCTTTAACAGATACCGTGACTCTATCACCAGCAGAGCCACTTTAGCAACAACTTATCTGGGGATCATAAAGATCCATCCCAGAGTCTTTGAGTCTTGATGACTAACACTTAACACTGCTGAAACAGAGAGCCATAGAATATACAGTATTTGTTCTTCTTTGCTCCGGGTTGCCCATTCCCATCACGAGTTAAAATAATACAGTACTACTTCAACTTAAAACATATGCCAGGGTCCTCCAGAGCGTATCTGGGCTTCCTCCATTAATGGCCATTAAGAAACCACTGCCACAAGTCCACTGAGCATGTGATACCTCACATTTGCCAAAGTTGCAGCTCTCACTTCTATCTGCCAGGGCCACAGACATGCCCAGACAATGTAGAGAACTGATAAACATGTAAGCGAAGTGACAGAAAAGAGAATATGTGGCATTAGTGAATTATGAATTAAGCAGGTGTCTGACTCAGGACTCAGCTATCTATGACCCAAAGCCTGGTTTGGTATAGCACAGCTAGGTGATCTTGGCTCAGACAGAATTACAAAAGAAACTTATTAAGGTGTTTCAGCTAAGACTATGCAAGATAAGAAAAAATAAAAATGAAGAGAAAAAGGTGTCAGGTGCTCTCTGCTATTGCTTGGACCTTTAGCTTTTGTAAGCATTTAGATTTTGGCTGCATTTCATTCCTCCCCCAAATAAAAGAGTTTCTGCCTTCTATCAGAGGCTTGCCCAGAGACAGTGCCTAAATGCAGGTGATTTGGACTGTAATACTCCAGCTGGTATTTTCCTACTGTCGTAACAGAAGCTCCATTCAACCTTGTCCTTATTTTAGACCCATGTTAATGTTGTCCATTTTTCTTGTCTTTCAAACAATTGGTGTAACCAGCTCTGACAGGTGTAACAGTCGCCTGCATGAGAACCACTATCATGTTCTCAGGTACCCCATCTTCGGGCACAGATTAAGATTTAACTCTCACCTCCCGTATCTGCTTGGCCTGCTTTGTCTCTCCTTTCCACTCTCTTCCACAATAACCAAGGAGATCGACTTCTGGTGACACGCTGACATTCTCTAAACCAAGACCAAGGCACAGATTAGTTACAATCTCCTATCCTGCCTTTAGAGGGGAAGGGGAATTAGTGAATATAGAAAAACATTACTTATGAATCTTCTCTGAAGATAGCTGGTCCACCTGAAAGTGAAATGATAAAACAGTGTAAAAAGGGAGTTGTCAAAAGCAAAAATATACAGAAAAAAGAAACACTGGTGAAAATCAAAACCTACCATTTCAATAGCTGTGTTAAACAGTGGTACAGCCTTCTGCAGTACCAAAAAACGGCGACAAGGAAAGACATGCCTAGCTGTACTTTTACTTTCTGCCACAGGAGACACAAGGATCGCTTGGTAGCTGCTGTCCAGGACTGCACCTCATGCCTTCCTAAAATAGGGATAAGAGAGACAAGAGAGAGAGAAGGGTTTTACTTGCTTGCAACATGTGTTTATATTTACTAGAAAAAAAAAATCCAACTATGGCCCTACTCAAAAGAAGAAACAAAACAAACAATATAAAATTTGCTGTATATTTAGTGACTATCTTGACAAGTTTCTATGTTTTGGGGGACACTTGGTTCATGTTTTCCAGCTCTTCCCACAGTCTAGAAAGAGTCACAATTATAAGAGAGCATGGGCTTCCCCAAAAGACTGATACCAAAGTAACCACTCAATAACGAAAGACTTGCTCTGGGATGCTTTAACCAGGGAGCTGCACTGTCATTGCTTCGTCATATACCAAACTTTTAAAGATGACAAGTTTCTGGGAGCTGTGGCCTACAAATTGGACACGCGAGGCACTATATTAGCTGACTAAGCATCCTGTGAATGCCCACAGGAAGCAAAGGAAAGTTCCTTGCTCAATATAGGCGAGTTTAGGGTCAATTAAAAACTCAGGAGAAAGCTTCTTCCTAGGGATCTGGTGGAAAGCTCAGGAGATGGTGATAAAGGGGAGATGCTCTCACTGCTTTTCTCAGAGATATGCCACAATGCTCGCTTCCTCTTTGGAATTATAGTGGAGATTGGAAAGGTTTGGACAATCTAAAACTGAATCAAGAGAAGCATAGAAATTTAAAGGTGGTGACAAGTGCAAGGTCTACTCCCTGGGAGAGAAATTATCCTCTGGCTGAAACTGGAAGATAGAAAATTCCCAAAGTTTATGACCAGCAGTTGCTCTATTATTTATTATTTATAAATATATATAAATAAATTTATTATTTATTGATTGATTTAACATCAAATTTTAAGATATTTCAGGCTTTTGTTCAGACACCTCCAAGGAAGAAATGAAAATATCCTCTAGAAGTCCAAGTACGGAACACTTGATTGCATATAGCAAAATGGACTTCTGCTTTATATATTAAGATCAAGACATGCTGTTGTATCTCCTGCTTCACAGAATCAATCCCAGAATGGTTAAGGCTGGAAGGGATCTCTAGAGATCATCTAGTCCAACCTCCCTGCTCCAGCAGGGACACCCAGAGCACAGGGAACAGGGCGGCATCCAGGTGGGTTTGGAAGATCTACAAAGAAGGAGACTCCACAGCCCCTCTGGGCAGCCTGTGTCAGGGCTCTGCCACCCTCATGGTCAAGAAGTTCTTCCTCATACAGAGATGAAACTTCCTGTGTTTGAAAATGTTCCCATTACCCTCTGTCCTGCTGCTGACAACAACTGAGACGACTCTGGCCCCATCCCCTTTATATTCTCTCCTCAGAAATTTGCACATGCTGCAAAAAATCCCCTCTCAGCCTTCTCCAAGCTGAACAGGCCCAGCTCGCTTAGACTTTCATCATAACACAGATGCTCCAGGCCCTTAATCATTTCTGTTGCTGTATGTCGGACCCTCTCTAGAAGATTCACATTCCTCTTGCACTGGGGAGCCCAGAACTACACACAATATTCCTTGCGTGGTCTCACCAGAGCTGAGTAGATGGGAAGGATCATCTCCCTTGACCTGCTGGCAGCACTCATCCCGATGCAGGATAGGATCCCATTGGGCTTACTGACAGAAGGGGCACACTGTTGGCTCATAGCTACCTCGTTGTCAAACAGAACTCGCAAACTGCTGACCACGGAACTGCTTTCCAGCAGGTGAACTTATAACCTGTACTGGTCTCCGAGGTTATCCTTAACCAGGTGTAGGACTCTGCACCCTGTTACCCTGACCACCCATGCGCTCCAAGTCTTCCCTCTATCTTAACCCTCACCCTTACAATAGGCCTAGGGCTAAGATCCCCAGGCCTAGCACTATCTAAATGAGAAAGATGATCCTAGCACCAGTGTGGAAAGCACCCCACATTTCCTTTGGCATGCCCTTCCTAGACCCATTGGCCTTGGGTCTTCAAGGTTTTTCTTTTCTCTTAACCCTAATTCTAGGCCTAATCCTAACCCTAGCCCTAATACTAAGCTGAAGGTACACAGGCCTAGCGCTGCATAAACAACAAAGATGTTCCTAGCACCAGTCTGGAGAGAGCACAACATTTCCTTTGACATGCCCTTCATAGCCCAACTGACATTGTGACTCTAGGCTTTTTCTCCCTATTAATTAACCCTAACTCCAGCCCTAACCCGAACCCGAGCCCTAACCCGAAACCTAGCCTAAGCCTGAGGTTCCGAGCCCCAGTCATGGCAAAACGGGAAAGATGGTCCTAGCGCTAGTCTGCAGGGAGTGCTACATTTCCTTTGGCAAGTCCTTCCTAGACCCACTGCCCATGGGGCTCTAGGCTTTCTCTCTCTTAAGCCTATCCCTACCCCTAGCCCTAACAACAAGCCTAAGGTACACAGGCCTGGCGCTGCATAAGCGACGAAGATGAGTCTATTACCAGTATGGATAAAACCCTACACTGCCTTTGGCATGCCCTTCCTAGACACACTGCCACTGGGGCTCTGGGACTCTCTCTCTTCTACTCCAACCCTAGTCTGAACCCTAACCCTAGCCAAAACCTGGCCTAAGTCTTTGGTACCAAGTCTCAGTCATGGCAAAATGAGAAAGGTGGTCCTCACACCAGTGCGGAGAGAGCACTACATCTTCTTTGGCATTCATGGGGCACTAGACTTTCTCTCTCTCTTAATTCTAACCCTATCTGTAGCCTTAAGCCCGAGGTCACCAGGCGTAGCACTGCATGAACAACAAACTTGATCTTAGCACCATTCTGCCTGTATCACTACACTCCTTTCGCACACCCTTCCTAGACCCACAGCTCACGGGGCTTGAGGCTTTCTTTCTCTCTTAACCCTAATCCCAACACTAGCCCCAACCCTAATAGTAGACCTAAGCCTGAGGCTACCAGGCCTAGCGCTGCATAAATGAAAAAGATATTCCTAGCACCAGTCTGGAGAGAGCGCTACATTTCCCTTGGCAAGTCCTCCCTACAGGAGGGGACATTTCCCCTGGCATGTCCTCCCCTGCCCATAGGGCTCTAGGCTTTCTCTCTGTATCTTTAGGCATCTTCAAGTACAGGAAACATTTTTTACTGATCCCGATGGGCAGGAAAGCACCAACAGTAAGTGTCAATAATGGCATATCTACTGGAAACTCCAGGGCACTCCTACTTTTACCAGATACACTTACTGTTGATGGCAGTCAACAAATCAATTTTTAATAAGGAAATGGAAACTAGCCAAATTTCAGCTAACAAAACAGGAATTACTAAGAGAAGTACGTCCTGGTAGAAACAAGTTAAGGTATTTTATTCTTTCTCTGCTATAAGACAGAATCATCAACCTTATAAACCTTAATCACTGTAAATCACTAAATCTTCTCCTGCCTTTTAGGGGCTTTAAAAGCTTACAAATGCAGTTCAGTCCATTGATCAATGTGTATCTGGCATTTATGTTTTCAAAATGTTGCACAAAAAGCAATAAGAGTTTAAATAAAAGTCACTAACAGCGATTTAAACATACAGTATTCCATGGAAGATGGGATATGGGATAGACTCATTTCACTACTTCTGATGGCTATATGTCTACTCTATGATCCAGAACAAACTGCAAATACAGTTGGCCACTCCATCTGCTTGAAGGCCACACTTTGTCGCCCATCAGAAATGCGTGCACACAGCCTTTCCATACAACTTCTTCCTTTAATCGTTTTTATAGAATAAAAGACAAAAGGTTTGCACTAGCATGTACTTTTAAGTTAAATTAAGCAACCTCTTTGAAAAGCTTTTGCTAGCATTATTCCTGAAAAAAAAAAAAAAAAGCAGCCTCCTTCCAAGGTCTACAGTTAACAGGTGCACGAGCAAGGAGCTGTCCAGGAGCGCTGGGAAGTGTCGGCTCATCAACTGCGAAAGGAAACACGAATCACCAGGGAACACCCCACCACCGAAAACTGCTCATCCATTTTTGTTAAGGAGCACCAAAGAACATGCTATAATTGAACACTGCGCCTCTGATTTTACTTAAATTTAGAGGATTTATATCTAGAAACAGCTCAAATAAAAAGGTTAATGGAAGATGAGGGGGAAAAACACGCAAAGAAATGATGTAGGGCGTTTTTGTTGCATTTTTATCATAACATGGCCCGTGTTATGCCAACTTGTGCCCCATGCTCTGGGTGTCCCTGCTGGAGCAGGGGGGCTGGACTAGATGATCCCTCAAGGTCCCTTCCAACCTCAACCGTTCTGTGATTCTGGGATGTCCCCTGGGTCTGCAGTGCTGCACCCAGGGGTCTTGGTCCCCTCCTGGTTCTCCATCAACCCATGAGAGATCAGCAGGGGGTCCAGACTGGGGAGGGGATGGATCTCACCTTCTGCTTCCCTCTTCAAAGGAGAGGGACATGGTGCTTTGGGGTAAATTAGTTACTTTTAACATGACTTTTTAAGGTGGCAGACTTTCAAAAAAGCTGCGAGGGAGTCAAGTGTGGGACTAATCCTTTAGAGCCTTTTCAGGAGAGCTGTGTGCCAAAGAAGCATGTTATAGAACACTCCTACTCACGGCTTTTCTGACAGCTTTTTTTATATTCGGATTTTTTTTGCACGTGTCTCCTGCTGCCTTTGTAGGGGTAAGGCTTCAGACTTGGCACTAGCAGGAAGCTGATGATGTGGTATGAGAAGAAACCCCAGCGTGCTCCTTGCATGGCAAGATAAACACCGTTATCAACCCCTAATTTAGCGCTGTTTGAGCTGTTTTTGTCCAAATCACATACTAGGGCTGTTACGAGTCCCCGGACTTGCAGCTGGAGGAGGCCCATCCCTGGGCAATGCTCATGGTCTGGCACCCAAGGGATGTGAGCCCAGCACGAGAGCACCCAGCTGTGGCTGCCAGCTGGACAAGGGGTGGCTGGGGCTGGACTGTGTTAAAAATACACAGGGATATTTTACTGCTCTCCCCCGCCTCCATTTTATACTTTTGTTCCAGCTAAATTGCTCTTGAGTTTCTGATGGATC